CTTTTATCCAACCATTCTTATGAACTCACAAACATTATATATGTTGACCGTTTTCAAAATAACTTGTATCCTCAGGTAATCGTTAAGCATGAAGGATTCCAAGAATGTATGGATTTATTTTGTGTAACATCACTCATCGTACAATACTTTAAAACTATGTAACTTATAACAATGTACTATATGTGAACGATGTTGGTTGTTATATGTAATGTTGGTGATGATGTGTTATGTTTCACGTATATTCATTGTGATGATAATTCAATTGTTAGTCACACGAGCCCCGGACGTTTCTGCCGTCTGGTTCGGGGGTGTGACAAAAAGCAAGTTTTTTACACTTAGATGCAACTTTTTTTAACTGTTTTAGTTACGAAAATTCAACTTTTTTTTAGAATCAATTGCAACCTTTGTTATGTTTCTAGTAAAGAATTGCAACATTTCCATATGGTATATGCAACCTTTGTTTCGTCTTTAATTGCAAAAAATACAACCTTTGTTACATCTTTAATTGCAAGAAATGCAACCTTGATTACAGTCAAATGCAACTTTGTTGTCAGTATTTTAACGCTAATCCGACATCTTTTTTCTAGTCATGCATACGCTACATATGTTTTAATATATTGCTACGAATATTCATTACTACTAAAATTACACCATAACACAACAATAACGTAAATATGTTATATAATTTTATGCTCTCTTTTGACATGACTAAATTTAAAATAACATCCATAAATCAAAGTCAACACAAAGTTGTCAGCTATAATCACAAAAATTAATATTACTAACATTTCAATCAACTTCATTTGCTTTGAATACCATAACAATACAATGAATATTACCAAGAGAATAGGACCATTCTCCTCAACCACACAATCATTTTTTGGAAGAAACCTAACAAGGAACTCCAAAACTTGTATTCATCTTCACCTTGAACATAAACTATAGACTGTAAAAGCTAATTTCTTTTCCATTTCATACTCCAAAAGTCTCTGCAAGGTAACTAAAACAAAAATGTATTAAGTTTTAAATCTTATAAATGGGGGTTGAATATAAACTAACAACTTACCTTACAACCTTCCTTTGAATAACAAAAATAAATTAAATCTATATAAGAATATTAGAGGAATAATCTCTTGTTGGAAATAATTAGAATTTAATCCATTCCATTGAAGTTCAGTTTGTATGAGTATATAAGCAAACCACTTACATTATAACAAAAACCACAAGACAAACTTTCAAGACCCATTACATTTAAGTTTATCTTAGAAATAATATAAATAAAAAAATTGATTATAGTAACTTACTTTCTACTTCTGGGATATCTATGGTTGGCTCATATAATTTAATAACAAGTAAGGAACTAGCAATATGACCATAATGGGAATGAACTAACAATAAGTAAGAGAAACTAAATTCAACAAGTTCGAACAATAACATGCATCAGCATCAATGAGAAAACATAAGCATAAATATGATTAAAAATTGTCCACCACAATACAATGTACTAGATTTTGGAATAAGGATTGACTCACCTTTGTTACTAAAAGGCTCTTTGCCACTTCAAGTATCATGAACAATTGAGATTATCACAACCTCCCCTAATACAACACAAACAACCATAATATTATGTGTTTTCAAGTTTACTGTTTTTACATATATAGAGTTAATATTACCATTAGGTTTATGCTCATTTGATTAGAGTTTTAGAATTCTCAACTTGGTATCGGAGACCCTAGAAACTACACTCGATTTCCTACAACTTTGTTCTTGTGGTGATCTTATCTAATTCTGACCAGAATAACCTCTACAACCCTTTCAAGACAGGTCAATAATTATGGACAGATTCTAATCTTCGACAACATCACAATTATGCTTTAAAGTTTTAAACAAGGGGTTTAGGATTATAAAATTCCATCTTAATACTCTTTACCTTATTCAATAATTATTCTTTTAGCCATTTACCTTTTTCATGCGTACCGATATTTATTGATTTGTTATTTTTTTTACTTGTATGCATATATAGACTCATTCATAGCTTTTGTTAACTTATATTATACACAAACTTGCATATGTATAATCATATGTTCATATTTAAGCATTACTTCCCCACTTTGTCTATCTTCTCCCATTCTTTTTTTAGATTATTATATTAACATACTTCTGAAACCATATAACATTATACTTTTATATTTTCTCTTTTATTTCCAAAACTTCCATTACTAAATTTTGTTAACCCATATACTGATTTGTTTACCTGTATATATACTTTTATTAGTAAATTTCTTGGATTTCATTAGGATTAGAAAACTCCATTTTGTAGTTACAAAGTGTTTAGCAATAAAGTTATAGACAAGATCATGCGTAGAGAGTTTCAAAACCAATTAATGACATACATGTCCTTAATTCACTACTCATTAACCTAGCCCACATGGGACATGGGACGTACTTTAACTAGACTTCACAGGAATAAATTGGCAATAAAAAGATAACCCTAAGGAAGAATTCCATCCACACCACAACCACCATGCCATGGTGGTGTTGTGGTTCATTCCCGGCAACAATAGGCTGCTGGAGGTGGCCTTGGTGGTAGTTCAATGTGATATTGATGCTATAAGGGCTAGGAATCGAAAGTAGAATAACTGGATAGGAGAAAAATACAACAAAACCACAAGTTGAGCCACTTCATCTCCTTTACTGCTCTCCTCGCTCCCTCCTCTCTCGTTTATTTTCTTTTGTTGTCGGTGTAGCGGCCTTCTGCCTTGTTCAATTTCTTTTTCCTTCATTCTATAGACAATGGTCACAATGCAACAACTAAAGGAACGAGTTGATTACGTTCTTAATGTTTACAATAGTAGCCCAAGCAAAAGAAACAGATGGATTTCATAAATCCGGTCGATCGTTAGGTTTAGGGTTATAAACGAATATTTACTAGTCGGTCCCTTAAGTTTCATCCTTAAACCTCTACTACCCCAACTCTAGATTAGTTAGAGTAAATTACACGAATGGTCCCTATGGTTTAGGGTAATTTTCACGTTTGGTCCCTAACTTATTTGTTTAACTCGGAAGGTCCCTATAGTTTGTTTTTGATGCGCGTTTGGTCCCTGTCTTACCTAAAAATACTTTTTTGCCATTGATTGTTTAATTTATTTAAATAAACACACCTCCAATATCATGCTCTCATCTCACCTTACCTACTCCATAATTTGTTCCTATTTAAATAATAATCTTTTTACGTAAGACAAGGACCAAGAACGTAACAAAAATAAATAGTAGGGACCAAGCACGTAAAAAAAATAAATAGTAGGGAAAGTTCAGTTTTGTTTTAATACTATATATATATATATATATATATATATATATATATATATATATATATATATATATATATATATATATATATATAAGATTGAGAAAATAAAATCAGAGATGGGGCAAAGAAACTGGTAGAAAGGTTAAGTGTCATCTGTGATTTTTCCTGCTAAAATGGGAAAGTTCAGTTTTGTTTTAATATTTTATATTTTTGATGAAACCATAGGTTTAACTTCAAAATCGCATTTTAATTGGTGAAATTATAGACCATGAAGTTCCACTTGTGATCTCGAGAGCTATATGGATAATTTTCAAGGTTTTAAAAAGCTCGAAATGGCTTCGCTATGGTGCGTTATGGCTCCAAGGCTTATATGTGCCGCCAAGCTTTACCAAAACACCGTCTTGACTCATATATGTGTATAAAATTAAATAATAGTTGAAAATACATATAAAAATATGAATTATATACAAAATTGCCGCTTTAAGTCACGCTTTACAAACGACGTAACTCGCCAAGGCTCGGAAAAGTTTAAGACTTGACACTACCGCCAAGTTACGTCCTACGTTACTTTGATAATTTCTTAATTTTTAGTTATTTTTAATTTTTAAAGTTCAATTATGTTGCTTTATAACTATTTCTATCATGTCATCGTTGATTATTTTAATATACAAATGAAATTCCTTATAAGCGACATGGTCATATGTTTGAAGGGTTGTTGGATTTTGTTTATAGATTAAGGGAACATGTTTACGTATACTTTTGAAAAGACAAAACTTCAAAAATGGTTCCTGTGGTTTAAAAAAATATCAAGTTTAGTCCTTAAGTTCAAAAAACCTCACAGATGGTCATTGTGGTTTCAAAACTTTTAACAAATGGTCTTAACTCCGTTAGCTTTCTACCGTTAAGTGAGGGACATTTTCGTCATTTCAATACACAGAGACCATTTATGAGGTTTTCTCCATTTAAAAAATAAAAAGAAAAAAAATATAATTATTTAATTAAAGCCCCCCCCCCTTCTCTCTCTCTCTCTCTCTCTCTCACGAGTCAACCACAAGTTCATCTTCTCCGGTGAGACCAAAATCACCCTTCTTCATCATCATCCTAGCTACCAGAAACCACCACCTAGTCCACCATTATACTTTCAAACTCAAACACGGAGATGAATGAAAGAAGAGGCAACAGCCTCCCTCGTTCTCCACCATTGTTCCTGTCGAAGAGGCTCCACCCAAACACCCCCTCACAGCCGCTAAAAACCCCAATCCTATTTTCTTCATTGGCTCACCGAAAAAACGAAGCAGAAGAATTCTCTGTGTGTGTGTGTGTGTGTGTGTGTATGTGTGTGTGCTTGTTTCAGCAAGAACGCCAAAACCACCGCTCTTAAGCCTGCTTCCCGTAATCTGACCTCAAATCGAGCCCTCAACAACTACAGAACACGAAGAATGATCAACAGGTTTTCAAGAACGAAATATTCATCATTAAACACCAAATCAACCATGAACTCAAAAGACACGATGATGAAGATGACCCCAATGCGTTAAACCCTAGTTCTACCGCTGGTGACGCTCAATCTCAGAGTTCAGGAGGAGCCAGAGTAATTCCTCCAGATCTCAAAACCCTAATCGTAGAAGAAGATACTCTCGTTCCAAGAGGAGCTTCGATTTCGATTTGGACACCAGTTTGAAGAATGACGATGGTGATGATGATAAGACTGAAAACGATGAGGCACTGCACAACCACCACCACTGGTACAGGGAGGAGGTTAGGGTTTCGTCTCTCTCTCTCTCTCTCTCTCTCTCTCTCTCTCCTATAAGTTGTATAAAATTCTTTCTCGTCACTAGCTCCCCTGTAAGTTGTATAAATTCCATGTCTCATTCATCATTTGATTCCATATCTTCATGAAGCAAATTGAATCTGAATTTTTTTTAACTCCTTTGTATACCTTCGACTCCATGGCAGTGTAGAGTCCATTAAATGGTCTACTGTGGGAAGATACAGAGTCGATGTAGCATCATTCGAATCATTAGCTTTGCCTGAGTTACAGGTTCGTTTAACTTCATCTCTAATTTCTCAGTAAGAAGTTGATTTTCGATTTCATTTTCAGTTCAAAGAAGATACATATATGTTTGTGATTGATGAAGTTGGAAAGATGGAGCTCTTCAGTTCGTTGTTCTTCCCTGTAGTGTTACGTGTTCTTGAGTCAAAGAAGATAAATCTTCGGTGGTTGCTTCTTCCAACGGTGAATCAGAGAGAGGGGGAGAGAGTGAGAGAGAGAGAGAGAGAAAGAGAGAGGACCCTTGCATATTAAATTTTATTTATTTATTTATTTTAAGAAAAGTAATACAAAACCTCATAAATGGTCCTTAGGTAGTAAAATGACAAAAATACCCTTTACTTAACAGTTAAACGGTAACGGAGCTAGGCATAAGGACCATTTGTTAAAAGTTTTGAAACCACAGGGACCATCTGTGAGGTTTTTTGAACTTAAGGAGTAAACTTGATATTTTTGAAAACCACAGGAACCATTTTTGAAGTTTTGTCCTTTTGAAAATAGAAAAATACACAAAAATACTCTTCAACCAAAAAAAAATGGAAAAAAGTGTTACTCGATCGTTATTGGTAAAAAACGTACCAAAAACGATTAATTGTATGGGTGACAGTGACACATAATTAGGGTGACTTAATACGTTTTCTCAAAATTATTTATCTTGTCACCTTTTAAGATTTTGTTTGGTGCTCAACAAATAATTAATAAATTAATTTATTTTTTGAGTTTTTATAAGTCGTTATAGTTAACAAGAAAAAACAACAACTGATTCATTAACTTATAAGCTAGTTGTTTAAAAAGCTACTTTGATTTGTTTTTTAGATGCTTTTTAAAAAATTTCTGAATACACCTTAATTAATTTTAATAAACATTTCTTCTAAATGTTCTTTTATGTCTTTTTAGAATTTTCAGGTAGTTTATCAGCTATTTTTTGTTAAAAATTATTTATTAGCAGCTAGCTTAAAATCTATTAGCTACCTTTACAGCTATCAAGTAGTTTTTTCAACTATTAACTAGATTTTTTGGCTAACCTGGCAAACATAGTCTAAATATATCATCTAAGCAAGCTATTGGTTTTTTAATTATAAAATTAGTTTTATCTTTAATTTTTATCTTTATTATTTAAAAATGACTATCAATAACAATTAAGATTTAGGTGTTCGTTTGAATTGAATCCAGTCTAATGTATCCAAATTCATTTAGGATGTAAAAACATTGTTTCCAATAGTTCAATCTATATTTATCCGATATGAACAAGCTAAATTATAAATTGGGTGATTGGTTTTTTAATTGGATTTTCAAGATACAAACCATTTAAAATAATAAATAACTTTAATATTATTAAACTTCAAACATAAATAAAATGTTTAAATGTAAATTAAATTGTAATAATTTATAGATAATTTTTTTTGACAAGTACATATTAAAGAATTTTATTGGTGATGTTTCCCAAATTATTTCAAGAAGTAGTAAATTCATAAAAGATTAAAATATGTATTAAAAAGTATAAATAATAAATAATAGATTGCATTAAAACTTAATATTTTCTAGATAATTTTTTTTGACAAGTACATATTAAAGAATTTTATTGGTGATGTTTCCCAAATTATTTCAAGAAGTAGTAAATTCATAAGCGATTAAAATATTTATCAAAAAGTATAAATAATAAATAATAGATTGCCATTTGGTATTTTTGGAATTTTACTTTTTATTTTATTAACCAAAATCTATTTAAAATATAAAATAATAATTGTCTTGAAAACCAATTTAAAATTTCAAATATCCAAATAAAAATAGAATTAAACATTTGATTTTACTAAAATAATAAACAAGACTAGTTAAAGTGGGCGACTGGCCATATTTAATAATATGTATAATTAAAATTTTACTTAAAGTCCACGTAATTAGCGATCAATTAAGCTTGCTTACGCATGTCCCGGAACCATCTATTTCAATTTTAATTTGTTCCTGTTAATTACGTGATATAATAATAAGAGTAAATTACGTGAATGGTCCCTATGGTTTGGGATAATTTGCACGTTTGGTCCCTAACTTATTTTTTTAACTCGGAAGGTCCCTACTGGTTGTTTTTATTACGTGTTTGGTCCTTATTGTTTGTTTTTGTTACGCGTTTGATCCCTCTCATACCTAAAAATACTATTATTTAAAGAGGAAAAAATGATGGGGTACGTAAGGTAAGGTGAGATTAGGGGTGTGTTTATTTAAATAAATTAAAAAATAAATGGAAAAATAGACTTTTTATGTAAGATAGGGACCAAGCATGTAACAAAAACAAACAGTAGGGACCTTCCGAGTTAAAAAAATAAGTTAGGGACCAAACACGCAAATTACCCTAAACCATAGGGACCATTCGTGTAATTTACTCTAATAATAATGATATGGAAAAGTGACATTGTTGCTTAATATAATAATTTCATTAAGCGGTGATAATATTGCAAAATATCAATCAATCATAGGTACTATAATAAAATTTGACCAAGTTTGCTGAAAATAATATTAAGAGTAAATTAAACAAATTGTCGCTTGTGCAGATGTCAAAATACACGTTCACTCTCTATTTTCAAAAATTAACTCGGACCGTTCCTTATTTGTTTAAAATTTGTACATTTTATCCCCTATTAGTTTAAAATTGCATGCTTCATCCCTTGCGAAACAAGAAATGACTATAACACCCTTTTCGATTTATTTTTCATTTATATTTTTATGTATCTAATTATCTTTAATTATTAAAAAAAAACAATTTAAATTTATGGGTGTATCTAACCCTTTTAAATACAAAATCCCAGCCACCATTCTTTGGGAAAGACATCAAACATCACCACTGTTGGATTGTACTTAAAAAGAAACAGATTCATCGGAATCTGCTGCAACCACTAATGGAAACACTATATATATATCTCTGATATCGATCCATAAATAATACTCCGACAATGAGTTGCCTGACCACAACCTTCCACCATTGACAGATCACAACTCTCTCTCTCTCTCTCTCTCTATCTCCCTCCCTCCCTCCCTCTCTCTCTCTCTCTCCACCTCATTATTCTCTGATCCTTTTAACTCATCTTCGATCTTCGGTGTGTACTCCATCATCTCAGGTTGATGAGGCCTAAGGTCGCCATCGCCACAATAACCACTGGACTGGAAGCAACAAATGTACAACCCTCAAAATTGAAGAGATTTGTTGTTGGTGGTGGTGGTGAGCTAGTTGGAGATGTTGTTGACCAGTGGTTATCAGATCGATGGAGAAGAAGAAAGGGTGGGAAAGAAGATCGATGACGGCTGTGGCTGTGGTTACTTTAGGTCCGCCATTATTATTTTAGGAAGTCCACCATTTTTGTTTCATGAGACGAAATTAATTTGTCGACGTAGAAATCCACTCCGTCGGATCTATTTAGAGCTCATCGTAAAGGAGACTGATGATTGGAATTGAATCTGGTTGTTGATCTTGATGAGGAGAAGATCGACGATGGTGCTTGGTTTTCGTTCGAGTCATGGAAGCTGGTGGGCGACATCATCGTTTTGCCGGAGTCATGGAGGCAGGTGGATGGAGTTAGGCTTGTGGGGTGTTATCAGGAGTGAGTAAGAACAGGGAGACAAAGTAGAAGAAAACCGGGGAAAGGGTTGGGGTATTTATTTAAATTTCTATATTTTTATAATTTAAAAATGACAAACAAATAAAAGAAAAAAAATTATAAAAATTATTAAGGGCAAAACATTCATTTTGCAGCTGCAAGGACAATCAGTGTGAAAAAAATAATAAATAAGGACGGTCCGAATTAATTTTCAAAATATGGACTGAACGTGCATTTTAGCTTATGCATGAGGGACGATTTGTGTAATTTACTCAAAAAAGAAAAAGAGGAAGTTGGAAGAGGCAATACAAATGTTGCGCCAAACAGAACATGTGCAGAGGTTTTTTACTCTGAAAACTTCTAAAAAACAAAAACTACAATATTATAAGTGTTGCGCGTATGCTACATCGTGCATCAATAAAAGGTCTGAAGATGTTTTATTTTATAAAAAAACAAACAGACCTAAGACTCGTGCTTGCTTATCCAGTTGTTTATAAATGTTTTTTTTTCAAGAGCTTCATTGACTCGTAATAAGGGCAAGGTTCAATTATACACACGCACGTTCGCAACATGTTTCCACATAATGCAAACATACTCTGATATATTTTAGTAAATAAAAAAAAATTGGGTTGAAAATCGGGAAGTTATACAACTTCATCTTTACTTATTAGAACTCATTTTTTCAACTTAAAGCTAAGAGGAAGGAAATTTTAGTAGAAGTTATTATGCGCATATGTTCAAATAGGTTACGCAGATCAAGGTGTGATACCATTTTCCAATAAAATTCCAAGTCAACTTTAAAGTTGCTTGATGGAATCCAATCCCTAACTCTTTCTCATATGGATCAAAAGTTTCCGTCTATACTTTACACTTTAAATTAAGCAGAGGAGTGGATTTGTAAGCCATTTTCTTGTCATTATTCACTAAATTAGATTGAGGTTTTGTATTATTGTACCTTCCTCTTTGTCCCAAATGTTTTGGCCTTGTTATATAGTTTAATAAAATTTGATTGTTAAATAAATAAATAAAACCTCTATTAAAAAAAATAGGTATCATAAAATAGGGTGTTTTGATAATTAAAGAGTCTTGGATATATCGATGATAATATATGTATATTTTTGTATTGATATTTGTAGCATATGTTTGGGTTTCAAGAAATATAAATATAGGATAATTCTCAAAGGGAACTTTTAGTTTTAGTACAAAATTGAAATAAGTTACTGGAGAGGATATGTAATTTTTAAGATTTTTTTAGGGACAGAGGGATGGAGACAAATGTTAAGTTTTATGAAGTATTTATACATCCAAAACAGGTGAAGATTGATGAGAATACGGTTTTCTGTGGTTCAAAATTAGTTATAGGAAAAAATATAAGGTAATTCAAGTTGTCTAAAAGAACTGATAAAAAAGGTTGTTCGGAAACATGGATGCCAAGGTACTTTCCTGCCATATGTAGCTTGCGCCATCACAAGAGCTTTCATGATGCTTCCCCTTGACATCGTAAGGGGGTGCGGTTTGCTTTGCTTCTGTTTTTTATTGTGTTTAGGATTAAACACACTTTAAATAAAAGTGTTTCATCTCTACACGTAACTTGGATTGGATCAAATTTTAAATCCTCATTTGCAATTATGTTAATTCAAGTTACACTTAAATCACCAAGAATTTAGGGATCCTTTACAGTTGAAATGAATTGGCTTTAAAAGGTTTTATGAGAAGTTTTTTCATTATTGTCGTTAGTTATATTTAGTTCCGTTCTCATTATATCGTAAAACCAAACTCATAGCATACACAATGCACAAGAGTATAATGAGATGAAATCTTTAGTAAACATTCAATGGATTAAGTTCAATCACAATTGTATGATAAGTTGGTGTTCAGTTGATATGGAGTTCGATAACCATTGAACTCTTTAATAGGTAAAAAATTTAAGTTTAAAATAAATATTTTATTCCATAAGAATATATATATATATATATATATATATATATATATATATATATATATATATATATATATATATATATATATATATACACACACACACACATGGGGCGATTCACTTGACATTAAAAAATAAAATAGAGATCTTTAGATTCAACCTAAGCCATATATTTTTCATTTGTCGATGTAACGCTCCAATGTAGTGACAATAATAGATTATGCTTAATCATAAATGATTATCTACCAGAGAGGTATAATCGTAAATGACTATACATATTTATACGTATATGCATAATCATAAATGATTATACACATATGTATGTTCACAGATTAAATAATCATATATGACCATAACAGTTGGTAGCAGAAAAAGTGGTGGTGGCAGATGTGGCAATGATATAAGTAACGAAGGTGGCATTGATGGGGACTGCAGGTAGCAGAGGTGGTAATAGTGATGGTGGCGTTAGCAGTTGTGGTGCTAAGAAAGGTGGCAAAGGTGAAAGGACTGCCAAATGATTAGAGAGGTAGATGTAAATTATGTAGCTGAGGTTAAATCTCAATATATCTATTTTATTTTGAATCTGAATAGAATCTACATTTTCTCTCTCTCTCTCTCTCTCTCTCTCTCTATATATATATATATATATATATATATATATATATATATATATATATATATATATATATAGGCAAGATCAATAGAGAACTAAAATGAGGAAAAAACCAACAAACTTTTTATTTACAATGTAAACTTTTTATTTACAATGTATACAGTTATCAAATTTCACATGTGCATGTACATAGACATATGTAAGAGAATTGAAAAACAAAATTGAAAAAACCAAATTATATGTTTACACATATGCACATTTTTTTGAATACATACATAAATACATACATATATATATATATATATATATATATATATATATATATATATATATATATGTGTGTGTGTGTGTGTGTGTGTGTGTGTGTGTTCAAAGTTGAGTAAAATATTTATACAATGCTGGAAAAAAAAACCCAACAACCCCTATTTGGAGTTGTATAAGTCGGTCAGTTCTCAAAAGATTAAGATGTTTTTAGCTTAAAATAAAGCTTGGATTGAGTACTACAATCTAGAAAAAAAAAAAAAAAAGATTTTGCTATGAGGTTATATGAAGAAGTTATGTATGTTCAAAATTGAGTAAATTAAATATTTAAAAAATGTTGAAGCAAAAAGTAAAAAACTAAATGACCCATATTTAGAGTTGTATAAGTTAGTCAATTCTTAAAATATTAAGATTTTTTTTGAGCTAGAATGAAACCCACATAGAGTACTACAATCTAGAACAAAAAAATGACATTGTTCAAAGATCATATGAGAAAGTTATGTATGTTCAAAGTAGAGAAGAATTTATAAAATGTTGAAACAAAAATCAAAAAACTCAATAGTCAATGTTTAGATATGTATTAATCGGTCAATTCTTAAAAGATTAAGATGTTTTTCAGCTTAAAATGAAGCTTACACATAGTACTACAATCTAGAAAAAATGATCTTCTTTTGATATCATTTGAAGAAGTTATTTATGTTCAAAGTTGAGTAAAAAGTTTATATAATGATGGAACATAACCAAAAATCATATGCATCAATCCAATGCATATGTTTACTTAAAAAATGTTTACAACTTTAATATATATATATATATATATATATATATATATATATATATATATATATATATATATATATATATATATATATATATATATAGGCAAGATCAATAGAGAACTAAAATGAGGAATTGAACCAACAAACTTTTTATTTACAATGTATTCAGTTACCAAATTTCACATGTGCATGTACATAGACATATCTAAGAGAATTGAAAAACAAAATTGAAAAAAAAAATTATATGCTTACACATATGCACATTTTTTTGAATATATATATATATATATATATATATATATATATATATATATATATATATATATATATATATATGTTGAAAGTTGAGTAAAATATTTATACAATGCTGAAAAAAAAATCCAACAAGCCCTGTTTGGAGTTGTATAAGTCAGTCAGTTCTCAAAAGATTAAGATGTTTTTAGCTTAAAATGAAGCTTGGATGGAGTGTTACAATCTAGAAAAACAATGACCTTGTTCCAAGGTTATATAAGGAAGCTATGTATGTTTAAAGTTGAGTAACAATTTATATAATGCTAAGACAAAAATCAAAAAAACTCAATAGTCTCTCTTAAGAGGTGTATAAGTCGGTGAATTCTTTACATATTAAGATATTTTTAGCTTAAAATGAAGCTTACACATATTACTACAATCTAGATAACAAATGACATTTTTTCAAGATCATAAGTGAAAGTTATGTGTGTTCAAAGTGAAGTAAACTTTTTACAACTGCTAATACAAAAACCAAAAATCCAACAAATTGTTTTTAGAGTTGTATAATTAAGTGAATTCTTAACAAAATAAGATGTTTTTAGCTTAAAAGGAAACTCATACATAACACTACAATCTAGAAAAAAAATGATCTTGTTCAATGGATCTATGTATAACAAAGTAAATATACATACAGTGAAATGGATCTATGTATATATAATGCAAGTATATTATATATACTTATATATGAAGTAACTTTGTTAGTGATAATTACATGTATATATTATGAGGATGTGTATTATTTAAAAATTGTAATTAAAACCAAAGTTGAGATTATGTGTTAAAAATATATGGAGTATATATAATATAGTTGGCTCATTCTCTCTATTTTTTGTCCACTCGTCGGAAAAGAAGCAGCTTCAAGGCTCGCGTGCTGTAAGAGAAGGATTTTCATGTTGGTTAATTAGGGCTTTTGCTAATAAAAACCAAGTCAAAAGCTTGTATTTTAGAGAGAGAAATGTAATTTTTAATTTACTATTTCTTTAATTTTCTGTCAATATTAACATGAATTAAGTAATAGTCTACTATTATGGTACTATGCATTAGATACTCGCTTACTATTAGTTTTATACATGTTTTTTATTTTATCACTCAACCTAGGACCTAGTCTTAAAAAATAGAGAAAAAAAAACTTTTTGCTAATACTTTATATTCTTTTTTATAATACGATAAAAAAAACAAGATACATAGTTTATTAAATAATTATCAAAGCATAAAATTATATTCTATAAATCATATTCCTAGTTTTTTGTTTATTTTTTAAGTTTTTTTCTATTTTAATATATAATGATAATATAACAACATAATAGAGTTTGATATAATATATTTATAACAAAAAGTTGTCATTTATAAAGAACAATACATACATTATATTTACTACTTTTGCTTCTTATATTCTATTAGTTTTATTTTTATTTTATTGTTTGTTCCGTTAAGAATTTAACTATTTTTAATGTTAAATTTTTGAACTATTAATTATACATATTTTGAGTTTGATTTTTCAAAAATATATATAATATAAGCTTTATTATTCTAAAAGTCATTCTCCACCTTTGATCCACCATGTGATAAAAAATAGTTTTATTTTGATGTTTTTTTTTGTTTTGTTAAAATGTGAATTTAATTTTTAAATCATATAATTTGTTGTTTGCTTTTGTGAATCTTAGTTTTATCTGCTATTTTATTGTGAATCTAAGTTTGTTTTCTTATTTTTTTTTATAATATTTAATTAATATTCTAAGTTGTGAATCAACTGTTATTAACTTGTGAATCCAAGTTTGTTTTCTTATTTGCTATTATTTGTACAAAATTGTTATTCATAGTTTATGTTTTATGTGTTTTATGCTCTGAAGTGAGTTTAGAATGTGTGTTAAAGTTAGTTTTAACAATGAATGAGTGAATTAATATATTTGTAAGTTGTAATACTATGAATGAGAGCCCTAAACTATTTTATTAAATTGTGAATGAGAATCTTGAAATACTATATTAAAATGTGAATTTGTGTGGTGCACATAAGGTATTTGATTAAATGCTTCAACAAAATCAATTATATTTTTAAGTTGCAAAGACAATGAATGGAGACCTAAACTACTTTATTAAATTGTGAATTAAAGTCTAGAAGTGTAGGTTTTAAGCTGAAAATATGACTGTGAATGTATAATTTTTGTGTATTAAACTTTGAATTTATTATATAAATTTGAAAATTTGTGTATTAAATTATTATGTGACTGTATTAAGTGGTAAATTCACTGTATTAAATTGTGAATTGACTGATTAAACTGTAAAATTTTTTATTAATTCTTTTTTTTTTTTGCTAAAGTATGTAAGATTTAATCTAATTATAAATAAAGTAAGCAAAATTTAAATTGTGAATATTTGTTAATTAACCTGTGAAAAAAGTATTAGCGTATATATCTGAATGTATATATGTAAGTTTTAAATTGAGAATATAGGTGTGAGTGTATAATTTTTATGCATTAAACTGTGAATTTTTTATATTTAGTTTTGAATTTTGTGTACTGAACTGTAAATTGACTGTATTAAGCTGTGAAATTATATTAAACTGTGAATTTTTAATGAGTTTTGTATTAAAATATAAATGATTTATGTGTGAATATTTATATTAATTTTCTTGAGAATATATTTATTTTTTATGTTGTATAAATATGTATGAATGTATTAGTTTTTACAATTATTTTGCATTAAACTCTAAATAAGATAATTAATTGGTTTATTTTGTAAATATAATATTTAAGTTGTCAACTAATGGTTTTATATACAAATATGATTTTGAATGAATGATGATTGTGATGGTGGCATAGGTAGTAGTTGATTGTTGTAAAGTTTAGGTTTGACTTTTTTGAATATGTGGCAGTGTATAATTAATTGTATTATGCTATGAATTTTACGTATAAAACTAATAAATCACTGTATTAAGTTGTATATTTTATATAATATTTGTGTTAGAATATGAATGAATGTATGTATGAAAATACTAAGTTGCATATTAGTGAATTAGTATATTTATTAAACCACTAATCTAGTGATTATGTCTTATAAACGATATATTCTTTTAAAGAAATCTACCATTTAGAAAATAAAAAAGTGAATTTATCAAGATAATTCTATTTTTTTTATTAAATTTTGGATAATTTGTTGCAAAATATGAAATGTTTCTTTTATAAAGTATTACCAATCAAATATGAGCTACAATGTTTGATCTCTTAAATTGAGAATCCAACCAAAAAATGTCACTGAATTTATGTTAGTTCGACGGCGATCCGACAACGGTACGACGACAAGTTTAACTAGTTGTAAGCTAGTGAATGAAAATTTTTGCTTAATACAATATAAATGTTGGATTTGTTCAAAATATCATGAATGATAACATCTAAAAAAATGATTATTATGGTTCTTAACATTTTTTGGTTCTCATTTGAACCACTCCCTATATATATATATATATATATATATATATATATATATATATATATATATATATATATATATATATATATATATATATATATATATATACTAGCCGTTTACCTGCGTCAAACGCTGGTTACGGATATTTTATTCAAAAATTAAATTGTAGAGACGATTAATTCTTTTGCATAAATAGTTCACTACATATAAACAATTATCAATATAATTAAAATAATAATATATAAATGTACACTCTTGATTACAAACCCGATTATGTCAAACTGTATGAATGGTAAAATAATAATATATAAATGTACACTCTTGATTACAAACCCGATTAAATATTTGTTTTTTCAGTATAATTATGATTTATGTTGTTTTTTTTGTCACAACAGACAGGTAACAGATAAATCGACACTTAGGTAGTCAATATATAACTCACAGGAGCTCAATCCACTCCAAATTTCCCATCTTTTTCCACCTTTTCACTTTCTCTCACCTTTGACTTTGACTTTGACTCATTAACAACCCCTAAAATCCCCCTTTGTCTCAAACTCCCCCAAGAAACAACTGCTTTTCGTTTCATCTTATGCCCCCACACAACACTATGATTATCCTACCTTTTTACCTCATTAAGCAACATACTTTCATTCTCTTTCACATCATCTTTCATTCTTGGAACAAAAAATTCCGGTTTTGCCCCTGCCACCGCCATTCTTGGAACACCCAACACGTTCACAAGTGAAGATGGAGCATCATGTATTTTTTCCCCATTTGAAGATGAAAAAGCAGACAAGAAAACATCCTTAACATTTCTCATATGGGTCCCCGTTTGACTTTGACTTTAACTACTTAAGGTCCTACTACCTTTTGAAAGTCCAATCGCTACATGATCTGTTTTAGGCCTTAAGGATTCCACATTTTTGTCTTCTAACATTCCGAGAATTGAAGAGAATGAAAACTGACCTTTGACGGAGATGGAGGGTAGGATCTTAGGGGGTGGGGGAAGTTTTTTTTGGAGGGAGTTGACTTTTTCGGGCGGTCAACGGCTGCCCCTTCGACCCATTTGACCACTACGATCCGTGAAATGCGATTTGGGTCGTATTCGATTCGTTCAACTACACCTATTGATGAAGTGTTGCGTTTTAGGTCAATTGTTCTTTGTGACCGTTTTGCCCCTCCCCCTCTGTAGAAAATTGTGATACGACCCTTTGAATTTCTACCTGCTGACTTGTCTTTACCTATAACGAATTGCCTAAGTGGCCTTTCAGAGCTCACATTTTGAGCACCTGTAGGAATATGATAAAGTCAGTAAAACTGTTTTTGATTGGATAAATCATAGATGAATTTCCGATAACAATATAATCAGCAATGTTCAAATCCTAAGCACCACATCTCTACAATCAAATTAAGAAAGCTGGAAATGACATCTCTCTGGTACTGATTATCAATCTTGAATTGAAAATATACAACTTTAAATACTAATTTCTTTTTACTTTATCAACATATGTTTCATTCTTTCAATATATTTGCCTTTTTACATGTACAAATAAGTATTTACTGAAATGTACATGAACAAAATCAACTCTTTTTATTTAAAAGAGTATACCAGGGTCTAGGAATGCCTAAGAAAGTTTCGCTTCTGATGTCAAAAAGGTTGTTTCTTATTGTAAAATTGAAGTTAGGGTTCAACAAGAAGAGCAACAAGCAAACAAATTCAAAAAGTCACCTGTTTCATCAGCAATTCATAAAACACGTGTTTTCGACATTACTATTACCAAATTAACACTCTGAGAGAACCAATATCCCAGCAAAGCTGAAACCTCAATAACAGAACTTTGCCTTGGGTGACTACCGATACCCTTAAGCATTTTGACCTTATACAGACGTAGGTTTTGAGGCTAGAGACACATAGACGACATTCGAACATGTAATAATTTGAAAGAGCTAGGTTTGACATCAAAACTGGAACAAAGAATTTGTATTTGCACATTAGTTCCGACATCAAATTCAATCTTCATTGAGCCCTTTTTTTCAAATTCATTTCTCTTGAACATGACAATTTCAACTTCGAATTTGCATTTTAAAAAAAAACTTATGGTTGTTAGAGTGCTTGGATCTCATCTGAAAGCTGCTAATCCTCGAAGTAATTTCAAGCGAGTGGTGCGAGTGTAGAGGACAGAGGTGATAAAGAGAGAGCGTGATGGCTTCTTGTAACCGAAAAAGTGTTGCGAGAGCACAGTAGGTGGCGACGACGGCGACCAGATACAGATACAGTGAGTGGTGTGAGGTTGGAGAGTGGGTACGGTGGTGATTCACTACCGATGGTGATGATGACGATGAGTTACGCGGATGAGGTGCGATGTCGGCTTTTCAAAATAAGGTTTTTGTTATCTGTTTGAGGGAAAATGCGAGTGTAGAGGACAGAGGAGAAAAATAGTATGTTTACTTTTTTTATTCAATTTATGAAACGTCAATGTTAATGCCATTAATTTGTCAAACGAAAATGTGAATATTTAATGTAATTAGTTTGTAAAACGGAAATGTGATAGGAGTATTAAAATGTATGAATAAATTTATTGTATATTATGCAGTAGGTGTAGTACCTCTTAAATTTCAAGAAAATGTGAAATATATATATATATATATATATATATATATATATATATATATATATATATATATATATATATATATATATATATATATATATCAAACACTATTAAACTAAATATATTGTGATGTGTGGTACATATAACAGAATTATAACCGTGATCTAATGGCTACGTATTGAAACAAAAACTCCAACAATTATATGATAAGACTAAAATTTGTATTTATATTGATTAGTGTTTTATGTAAAGGAAGCAACCCTTTTAAAATCTGAAAACATGTTTCCCACAGCCATCGCCGACAGCTTATGGGCTAAACCAAATTCCACGTGACACACACATATGCTTATGAGTCGAAACGAGAGACCTCCTCACCTTTTTTTGCTTTTTATTTATTTATAACTTTCACAAAATTAAACAACGACTTTTAGTAAAAGTTTTGTCATTTCAAAAAATTAGAACACTTTAGAAATTTACCATATTATAACAAAGATGATATTAATTGATTAGATCATGTTTACCAAAAGTCCTGGTGGGGTTAGACGTGATCCCTACATGGTTCCATCCCTGTTCACTCACTGCCGAGACATTATCGGGCAGGGCTGTTTTTTTTTTTTTTTTTTTTTTTTTTTTTTTTTATAAGTGTCTACATACACATCTACCACCTCAATTCATCCTTAATTCCCACCATATATACATATATATAAACCCCTTAGCAACCTCCAGATATATGCATTCTTTTCTAACCCACTCTTGTTCCTACTTAACTACTTCATTTAGGTTCTATTCCCCCATCATAATGTCGAGCAGACGATCTGCAGGAACTCCAAGGATCACAGACGATCAAATCATAGAACTCATCTCCAAACTTCAACAACTTCTTCCTGAGCTTCGAAATCGTCGTTCCAACAAGGTAACTCTAGTCACACAGTACAACATTTTCTTTGAACAGCTAACTCACACACTCTCTACTTTACACTTAATTTTCATCCTAATTAAGCGGGATCTGAACCCTCAACTACTGGCTAAGGGACAGCTTTCCATACACCAATGATATTGTGAGGCCAAAGGCCTTTCTTTTTGTACAACAATATATATATATATATATATATATATATATATATATATATATATATATATATATATATATATATATATATATATATATATATATATATATATATTGAAATGACGACAAAAGTTTTATATGTGGGGGCTTTTCATCTGGTTCTTTATATTCGTGTTGATTAGTATATTTGGTTCTCGTGTAGGCATCGGCTTCAAAGGTGTTACAAGAGACGTGCAACTACGTGAGAAGCTTGCATAAGGAGGTTGATGACCTTAGTGATCGTTTATCACAGTTATTGTCCACCATTGATGACAATAGTCCTCAAGCTTCCATCATTAGAAGTTTAATTAACTAATTAAGTATAAGTATATAGATAAGTACTTCAATTATTTCTTAATTAGTCATATGCATATTCCCTGTTTGACTGTTTCCAATCCATATCTTTGTATTTGATCCATCATTTTATAGTTTGTGATGATAATATATATATATTTGTTTCTATGTGCATCCGTGTTTCTCTTTATATTCATGTTGATTTTATGTGCAGATTCTTTTCGTTTTTGTGTATTTGAAGAATTTATAATCCGAAAGCATTTCTATGAGAGAAACAACTCGAAGAGTTCAAAAACTAAACGGAAGTAACTTTGCAAATTATCATGCATGGCCATAAACGATCGACACAATTTATTTTAATTTTCTAAAATACATCATGCATGGCTTAAAATCTTGACACGGGGTTTAATTTGAGAACCTTTGGAGCATAAACACTCCATGCAAATTGAAAGCGCTTCGAATCAATTTCTCGTATTTTACGACTTACGTTGTCATATAATTAAGGTGATCAAGATTTGCATTAATTAGCGAGTAAGAGAGTTTCCTTTTTTATGGTTTAGATATTATTTCTATTTTAAAAGAAAAGTTCTCAAACATACGATTAATAATCAAATAATTTTATACTATATAATTTATATTGTTTGTGTGTGAAATTAATAAAATGGGGCCAAAGGAAGCAATATGCATAAAGGAATGGGACCAAGGATTTTGCTGCACAATCAGATGTCACAATCCAATATCAACATTGTAGATATTAGAGATGAGGTGATCATTCAATTCTCTCAAGGACACTATACCCATGAGAGTTATGTATGTCAATTCCTCCCTTTTCCACCACACAATTCCAAAGTTTTATGTTATTTCAGTTATAAATTGTACATAATTTAATATTATAATTGATAAAAATAAATTTTACTACAAACATGTAACCAAAAATGCGTCGACAGTTCAAAAGTATGCACGTTCCATACTTTGACGATACATAGATATTATTTCATGACACTGTATATCAGATGTGAAAAAACGATATCAATTAGTGTGGCACATGAAAAAGACAAAATTTAGATTATGACATACTAAGCCATGAAGTCCATGTATCATTTACCTTAGTGGTAGAAGATCTACATAAGAGTTTTATTTTCAAGTTTAGTATCATTTTTACTTTTAATAATATTATATACATTTGTCACAGTGGCTTACTAGTAAATATATGGGATTTAAACACCTCAAAATAGAATGAAGCTTAAGTTCAACTTTTACAAACTTTCATCATAAGATGACCTGAGTTCAAGAAAAACAACACTTTTTGAAAATATCCACTATAATTATTAATTAGAATTTAGTGGTGGTTGTTGAAGCTAGTTGATGAAAGACATAATGTTTTACCAGATGAGCCCATAAACAAAAAAAAAAAAAAAAAAATGATACTTGGCTAAAAGGCCTATAAGGAATGTAGGCTCATAGGAATTTGAAGTGGTCCATTGAGGCATTGACCAAGTCTCAATATGGGCTCCATAAAGGAATATGGAATCATTTATATTGTTACTAATTTTCAGTCTGAATTTTTTTGGACTGATTTTGTGGTCTTGTTGTTTGCTTCTTTTTGGCTCGAATCATGTCTTTTTGGGTTTTTTCGGTTTGTGCTCGGTTGTATACATCACACACCTATTAGATCATATAAAAGATTCTATAATTGAAACAAATTTCAAACTCATCGTCTACGATATATTTGTTATTACGAGATCTAATTGTTGGTGATTTTGATCATCAATGTTATTTAAGTGTAATGAGATTACTTTGTGTTGATAAAAAATGATCTTGATAAATATTAAACAAGTAAGGAAGGTGTAAAGTACACACTTGTTTAAGTTTCATCAAGTTTCAAAGTACACTGTCATTTAGGGACGAAGCCCCTGAACGAACGGGGGTCCGGGGGCAGCACCCCTGGGAGCGGGGTCCAAGGGGCGGCAGCCCTAGCAGGTTTTATGACAGTTTTTATGGTTTTATGACAGCCCATGGGAGCGGGGTCCAAGGGGCGGGGTCCAATGACCATTGGTTTGACTCTTATCCATATATCCATTTTATTACAGTTTTTATGGTTTTATGACAGTTTAAAACTGTCATATGACAGTTTTCAAACAAAGATATTAAAGTTGGTTTTGGTCTCATTTTCTGGTACATACGAAAATATCATCAAACATTCTCGGTTCTTGTCTCTCTGAGTCTTATCCAATTGAAGATTTGGGAGTACCACCAAGTACTTCGATTTGAAAGTGATAATCACAATTCTCAGAATTTCCAAGCCTTTCTACTCAGAATTTACAAGCCTTTCTACACCCAAATTTCTAACACTAATTATCAATTGTATAAAATATAATGTCCATATTATGTTGGATATATTAATATTAATTAATAATAATCTATAATATCGGTAGTATAATTTATATGTTGACAATATATCGCATTGTATCTTTATTTATTTGTATATATTGTCAAAACTATAACGGACACTATTCAAAATTTGTAGGTATGTGTTCATGGTCCAGCATCTTGGTGAGCAAATCTATTATGGGACACAACATAAGTAAACTTTACATGGTGTTTGGTATAGCTACAACACGAAAAAAAATGGAAATTTAACCAAGTCTAATGGGACAACTTGTTAGAAAAATAGTCCCGCCAAAATAAATGGAACTCAATGGAACACGTTCTCATATATCATATATGATGCATATAATAAAAATAACCATGGGAAAACTCTAGAGGTATCTTGTTGTGTCTACCGACCCCTAGTGCTGTTAAATCGGGCAGTCGTGTTATGTTTTTGTCTGACACAACACGACAATGTTGTGTATAG